CGCGACTGCGGTGGGTAGGATGGCAAAAATTCGATTATTATTTCACTTCCGGTTCTCCGCGAAGAAAATCGCTCGACGTCCTCCCGCCGCCACGGAGTTCGATTTCAAAAAAACCACGACGAAAATAATAATAAGGTAGCATTCGCGGATTCTTTCACACAATATAATAGATCGTAATAATATAACGAACAATAATAGAAATGACGAGGGCGTAGGAAAATCAAAAAAAATCAAGGCGCCAAGCTACAACCCACTTCGACGCCGCTGGTCGTATTTATTATATTATCACTGTTATTATTATTATCCGCCGGGAGGAAAAACAGACGTTTCCGATGACCGGCGTATAATATACAGCGCAAACACTGCGACGTCGAAATATAAATTATTATTAGACGAATATTATCGATTGGTCGGTATAGTGCGGCGTATAGACTGTTTACGGGTTTTCGGTATTAAATTCTCTCGACGTTTATGATGTGACAATATATATATTATATATATATTATATACACGCACACAATGTAGTTATAAAAGTGACGACTCCGAACGCAATTGGGGTTCAAATAATATATTATATTATTGGACCGAGCGTACAACATCAGCCACCCCCTCCCCTCCGTAGGCCACAAGACTGTCAAATACAACTATAAAAAAAACTTGATTGCACTCAGTTCCTCGATGAAAGCCACCCGATGCGGGTACTAAAATCGTTGCGGGTGATTATCGAGGAGACTCGACTGTCTTAAGCTTAACGCTTGCGCTATACCTACAGAGTCTGTCCACGTTAACCTGTTTTGGCCTAAAATCGTTTTTTATGATTTTTAGGAATCTTAGAGTAAAATCGACTATTACAACAATATACCTAGACGCATAGATTCTTAACCTTTTCTGGGCCATGGACCCCTTTGAAGTATAAAACATAATCACGGACCCCCCCCCCCCAAAAAAAAAAAAAAATATAAAAAATATAAAAAATATATAAATAAATAAATTAATAAAATTTTTATTTTAATATTTAATTTTTGTTGAATGATAAATCTAAGACTTACCTAATACTACATTCAATTATTGTGAATTATCACTTTTTCTTATAGCCAAAAACCAATTTTAATGTGACATTTGCTGTTGTTTTGATTGCAATATTGCCTTGAAATCTGGGACCGTATTGGACAGAGCAACACGTATATCGTCCTTAATGTCCAATCGATATCTTGCTTTATATTAATTGTGACCGTTGTAGAAAATCCAGACTCACAGAGATAGGTGGTAGGAAATGGAATCAAAAATGTCATTGCCATGGATACAGCTCGCGGATAAGCCTTCGTCAACGAAGAACGAACATCAAATTTCGATTAAATTGTTTGTTTGAAAATCGTGGAGTGCCATTTCTTTTGATCTTAAATCAATTAATTCGTCTCTAACGAGGTCTGAATCATTAATTGTATTTAATTCCACTAGAAAAGGATTGCGTATCATCATGTTTCTGATTTCGAAAATGTAGAATCGAATAATCGAAATAATTGAATGAAATTTAAACCAAATTAACTTTCAAGCACAACAAGATTGTTGCTTAGTGGCAGAATGCGGGCAAGACATTATTAATGTTATCTTAAAAACGCTATCGAAAAAAATTTATTTTTGGGTTATCTAAAAAAATTCACAGTCATCCCGTGGACCCCCGAGTAACCATCTACGGACCCCCAAGGGGTCAATGGACCTCCGGTTAAGAACCTATGACCTAGAGGATAATATTTTTGAGGGTACGACATATCGAACATTGTGAACATTTAAATGTTGTTTAAATTTTTTTTCGGACAAATCGATATATCATTCTCTCAAAAATATTATTGTCTACCGTTTTTGTAATAGGTGGCTTTACTCTAAGATTACTTAAAAACATAAAAAAAAATGATTCTGAGTAAATGATTTTTGTCTGTGTTGCGCGTGAGCCAGAGAGATATAGAAAACAAGTAGTGCGCTGACATCCTCAGCATCCTCTTAATGTATAATACTTTAGGAGCAGTGTCTGTAACAATCCAACCTTCTGTTTTTCAATCGAGGAGTCCCCTTTTTTATTATAAATTAAATGATGGATAATTTTTTGAACATTTTGATGTACCTACTTGTGTCCTATAATTCAATATTCGGACGAATAGTTTCTCCGTTATTAAAATATTTATATTAATGATAATATTGTATTCATTAAAAATAGTATATAATATTTATTATATTCGAATAACAATTTTTACTTATTATTATTATTCTTGATCTATACAGTCATCACCAAGTCTAAAAAATATTCCGTTTTAAAACAACAAACTAAAAAACAATTATGTTGCTGTTGTTTAAAAAAAAATACGAAAACTTTAATAATTAAGTATTTTTAAGACAGGGTTACTTAAAGTTTTATATAACTATTAAATATATTGCATGAAGTTTATTATAAATAAGAACTACGACTTACGAGTTACGAGCCTATATAAATTAAACTTGTATTATGGAAAATAATGTAATGTAATCGTTAGTCGTTAAGGTATCCCTGATGGAAAATGATTGACTAAAAATATTATTATAACATAATAATAATATTATATCTGACGACCATCTTTCATATGAATATTATATACCTATCAAGGTTGGAAAAATTCTTTTTAGCTGAAGTACCGACATTTGATTATTTTAAAATTTTAAAACGTGCCATTAAAAATGTACCTATACACATTGTAGTTAATTATAAAAAAATCTTTTCGACGATACATAATTTGCACTCACTATTCGCCATTACATTTTTTTTCCACAGCAATATTCCTAATCCTAAATAATACCATATCATTAATTTTTATTACATCGATGCACAATTTATAATAATAATATTATGGTAGTATAAAAACAACGATGACTTCGTCCTACATAACTTTCCTATGAACTCTACGAGTACCTAATTGTTTTTAAATTAAATATTCTAATATAGTAATATCGCGTAAGTATAATATAATATCATATTAATTATCAGTCGAACGTATTTTATCACCTTAAGATTTAACCACGGAACAATACCGTTCTTGAAACGTATACTCTATCTGATGTGCAGTAGCTACTGTATTTACAGAGGATAACTGAAAGATCTGACAGAATATTAAATAACTTTTGTTCTAAATTCAATATTCAAACATATTTTTTTAAATAATAACTTAAAGACGCTTGAGCAACTGGTAAGTAGGATACCTTTAGGAACAGTACAAATTTTTTTTAAACTGAAAATAAAATATTAGATTTTATAAAAAAAATTTTGTTCTCAACAGCTGATTTGTAAATCTTATTTTGAGAAAAATGTTGATGGTAAAAACGTTTATTTAAGTCAAGTAGCTTATATTTTACAATTTTTAAAATATCAATAATTGATTTGAAGCATATAAATTACTTTTAAACGTAATAACTTTTTTCAAAATATAAAATTATTGTATCAAGTTATGTACTTAGAAAGCATTGTGTATGATCAAGGTGATCAACCAAAAAAATATGCATTTTGAATTGAAATCCCGGGCCCCAAATATTAGTATTACGAAGTCAGTTTATATGAAAAGCTTGACCTACCGACGTGTATAGTTGCTGCTGACAGCCACAATCCTGCAGATTGAATCTCTGGGGTCGTTGTCCAGTTCAATCCAGATTTGGAAAACCTTGAGTATCAAGTCAGTTAGTTTGCGTCCGCTTGCTAATACCACGATGAGCGACAACTGCACAGTTAACACGTTAATATAGAACCATATTGTTTCAAAAGATTTATAGAAAATATAATTATAGAATTATACGAAATATACAGAACGATTTTACGATAAGCCTGCGAATAATTTTAAGTTTTTCAAAAACAATTTAAGGCTTGACGTTATACGTTGTCATGTTTCAAGCCAGGAATACAAAAACGATTTATTAAAACATTTTATTATTTAAGATATTTATTTAATATCGTTCAGAAAAACGATCTGGTAAATAAATTACATTATAAGAGAGGGGTCCTCATTTGAAAAACACAAGTTTGAGTCTACACGGCACACTCCTTATGAACTAACAAAAAAATGGTCTTTGAGTGTGTGTCAAAAACCAGAATTTGTTTGATTTCATCGTTATAATAATGGCTAAAACCGGGAGGTGTTCATTTGACGGTCGGTGAATCATCCTTTACATATCGTATACGCGAGTGCAATTATCTCCGATTCGGGACTTATTATCTCGGGTAATTATTGAATTAATCGTCTACTGGATAAATCGATTATTTAGGAATCAATTATTTTATTTTTATTTATATATAAACGCCGATCGGCAATTTTATGATTACATTTAAAATTAATATATCAATATGTAATAAATGTTTATAACACACAGTAACACCAAACATAATATAGAAAATAAAACTCAATATAAACATAATATAGTAACATAGTGTATAGTATAGTACAGCAAATTTATAACTCATACATTTTTAAAAATCAAAATTAGCATTATTTAGCTTACGTAGCATTCTATGTAACGGATGATTGTGTCCATAGGATGTGTTGTAGGTTGGTATTTGAAAGGGGGAGTGATTTCTGGAGAAGAAGGAAGGGATTCGAAGACTTACGTTGGAGAGGATATCAGGAGCATTTATAGGAGCTAGGTTATGAAGTGCTCATCAGCATCTTGCCGGCGTGATGATAGCAGTGGTATTTCCAATATACTACGTAATAAGGAACAATCATGAGGAGGGTGTACTATCTTCATAATATGGGCAATGTAGGACAGAACCTGTTTTGGACACGCTCGAATCTTAATTCATCTCTGGCCAAGTAAGGATGCCATACTACCACTAATTCCAATATTGAAGGTACTAACGAGAAATATAATGTGCAGAGACAGCGAGCAGTCGAAAACTGTTTGGTATTGCGCTTAATAAATCCCAAAACTTTTAAGGCTTTACCTACCGGGACATTTATGTGATGCTCAAAGTTCAGTGATGGAGTATAATGAATACCAAGATCCTTATAGACGCAAACACGATCAAGAATAGTGCCATTAAAAGAATAGTTATGGTGAATAGAAGACTGCTTTCTAGAAAAAGACATAACAGGACATTAGTTTGTATTAAGGCTAAGACCAATACTGCGTGCCCAATTGGCAAAAATATTGAGGTCAGACATTTATTAGGACCATACATTTTAAGGAAAATTGTTATGTCATCTGCAAATAGAAGAAGTTTAGCCTTTGTTATCTACTTAGTAATTGAGTTAACAAATAAAATAAACAGAAGTGGACTAAGCTAAGGTGACCTCCCTGAGGGACGCTATATGGTTCCACGGATAGTCAGAAACAGCATCTTTGATTTATACGAATTGTTTTCTGCCTGTAGTGATGTAAGTGTACAGCCAAGAAAGAAGGGGATTTCCAATGCCTAAAGACTTAAGCACCATTATAAGGCAACCATGGTCATTATGGGATTAATCGATGGATAATAAATCGATTAATTCGATAATCGATTGATTAACCGGTAAAATCGATTAGAACCTATAATTGATAATCGGTTGTGTCAAAGAATAATCGAGCAGGACTACTCGGGAGCTCATCGGGCTCGGAGCCCCTTTTCGAAATTAATCACTATATATAACAGTTGCTGTACTCTACGTCTGTATATAATAAAGAGTTGGTCATGTGTTTTCCTGGTTTCTCGTGAATTGACAGCTGTAATATTTGAGTCATAATAATTAATAGGTATAATCTATACTAGACTGATATATTACAAACTTCCTTCAAGCCAGGACATTTGTTTCGGAAACGGCTCAGATTTCCATAGCATTCCATTATTAGAAGTACTTATTTCTGTTATCAATAATTGAACACATGAATAAATAATATGTATGTATCTACTTAAATATCTAATATTCATATAAAAATACATATAAAAGTCCATTCACCGACACACAGGATACACATAGGCAAACACTATGCGCGCGCGCGTGTATGTGTGTGTGTGTGTGTTTGTGTGTGTGTTTGTAGCAACAATATTCGATTTAAACTTTGAAATAAATTGATATTGTAAGATTGAACTGAACTTAAATCTGTGAAGGAAATAAAACAAACAAACTCGCACGTACCTATATTATACATTATAATATGCTATACCCTAAGACTTCAGCTTCGTTTTTTTTCATTCAACAGGCTTTTTTGAAGTGTATTATACCATCTGAAACGAATAAAAGAATTAAATTCCGAATATTCTCAACAGTTTAAACTATAATATACCGTTCCATTACATTATTATATTATTGTTTCCTACTCGAACTTTTGGTTCGACGCCAACACAGCGATTTATATTGTATGATGCATGCTAATAAAAATTTGAACTTTGCTTTGGGCCTTTTGACTTCTGTGTTAGATGCCACGAATATAATAAATATAGTTATTAAGGTTATAATATAGTATGATACATTCACCAATCATTACACCTTATTTTGTTCTAATATAGTTTTCATATTTCCCTGATCCAATTGTGTTTCATTTTGCAGAAATAAATACCTAGCAAATACTATTGAATTGAATGTTTTTGAATTATAAAAATAATATGGGTATAAAATACCTAACATGAATATACTATTATTATATATTATTTATACACTATATACAGTATATATACACTATAATATATAGGTAGTTATAGTTCTATATATTTATACTCAGTGGCGTAGGTACTTAACTCTTATGTATTTATTTTTGAAATTATGGGTACCTACCAACAATTTGTTTCTAAATCCCAAAATGAGTCTTAAGACTTGTGTAAAAACAAAAAATTAGGTATTAATATAATAAAAAGATATTAAAACTGCGGAGGGGGGGTCAGGATTTTGATTTTTGACTATTAAAATATTCCTCCCCATAGATTTTTATCCAGTATTATGCCACTGCTTGTACTAAATCCACATTCAAGTATTGAATATTTTATTAAAAGTGATTTGACACTATATTACTGCTGTTTTAATAATAACTGTGCTAGAGAACAGAACAAAACCAAACATTTCTAATTATAGGTAAGCTTATAATCAGAAATATTTGGTTTTGTTCTATTTGCATGATGATGACAATCTTCAACGATATGACCTAGAAACTCTGCAATATAAACATAATAACAAAATTATTGTATACAACCCTATAGGGCCAACTTGATTACCATATACGATTTAGATTTTTGTTTAACACATTTCTATTTGCCGAGTAGCGAGGACCCATTTTTGTAAATCGAAAGTTGCATGTATGACATCGTAACACGCATAATATAGTCATAGAGGTATTGAAAATGTTAACAAGATGGTACCAACTTTAAAAGTTGTCGATTTTCTAATTTTAGTTTTATCCAGTAACCTACGTATCTATAAGCTACATATCATAAAGCTACACAGAATTGCAACACCTCAAGTCCCCAATTTTGAATCATTATTCGATTGCGATGACTTACGTAATAATATTATTATTACGTCTTGCGAAGTTTTTATTGCAATAATTTATATCGATAAAAATGCAAACGCATAGGTCCTTACATCGGTTTGATGTACCTATTGTCCACCATATTTTTTAACTCATTCTAGTCGTATACTCGTATTTTTGTGTTCATGAAATGATTAACGAGGTGACGATAATATTATGCTCTTTATATTCCACCTACTATTAACATAATCTGTTATACTTATATCTGATATAAGTATATAACATTACCTCTCATCACATACTCTTAATAACTATTGTACTTTTTTGTTGTTTATATATTGTGTACAACTTTTAAATAATATTAAAACAAAATTAATATACCTAGGTAAATATATATTATATACTTACATAATGCCATGGGCGCTCATAGGATAGTTTTCAAGGGTGGGGGGGGAAATTAAACCAAATGAATGTATGATTTCAAAACCTATTTATAGCATATATATTCAAATGTATAATTTTTTTTACATACTATATTATTTTCCAGTGGGGCATGTCCTCCCTTGCCCCTCCCCAATGGGCGCCATTGCGTAATGCATTGTTGGTTAATACTTATATATTACTTATTACGATCCTAGTAATTTCATTTCTATACAGCCATATTATTATAACCTACAGATTTGTATTATTGGATATAAATCGTACACTAATAAATTGTAATGACACCTCCATAATAATATGACAAATATTTTCCATTTGAGTTATACAATTCCTTGATTTTATCTGACTACTATCATAATTTTATTTTATAAATATAATATGTTATGGTAGTATCACTGTAAGCAGGTAGTACAAAATACCTAAATGGGGGACGGAGTGGCCGAGCGGTCTAAGGCGTCGGTTGCGATGCAGCCGACGCCGGCTCGATTCCTTGGTCGCGGGCGGCATTTTTCTTCGGGAAAGTCCCGGCCCCCGGGCATGGCAGGTACCTATGGGTACCCTATCAAAAATTCTGCCAAACCCAACACACACGTGTCCAACCCCCTACCGACATTAAAAACGTACATAACCAATACAGCTAATGGCCATAAATGCCGGGTTTACGTAAAAAAAAAAAAAATACCTAATTAATATTCAATTGAAATAAAAACATCAAATTGTATTTTTTGTAAACTGCAACAAATTGTATATTATATTTTAATATTTATATATTTTTACACAAACTTTTTTGTTTCTTAAAATAATTACAATAACACGCAATGCAACTATTCATAGAATAAATTGATGGATTATAACAACGTTTAATATTATTTTATCTTATTTCGTGAAAACAGAAAAATAAAAAACAATTTTTTTTTTTTATATTAATAAAATTAACAATTGACATTTTACCTCATAGATATACATATTATTATAATATTACATATATTTCTTATTAATTTGGTGATCATGTTCCGGGTAATAATTATATTATCATAGTAAGTGTGTGTCGCATGTGTGGACATGACTTATGTGTATGAGTTTTGTTGTGGCGGTGTTTTTGATTTCATAGCCGTTTAGACGTCTCTCGGTGAATTATACATATTTTATTTACTGCTAATATAGTATAGGTATATAGGTATTAAAAATTACCTCTTAAAATACCTCTTAAGCTAATTGATCGACATTATATAATATTATCGACATATATACACCGCGTGTATATAAACATAATACGTACGCGTTAAGAGATAATATATTTAAGTTTTAAAATTATTCATAAACATAGGTATTTATATTTATAAGAAATTAGAATATATAGGGAGAGTATATTATAAAATAGATAAAAAAAAAAGTAAACAAAACAAATACCGTTTTTATCGTTAAGTACAAGTGAATAAACAATTACGATAATCGTCGTTTTATTTATTTTGCTTAAAATTTAACATAATATACGATTCTACTTATTAAGATACAACCGGACGGCAGACCGTTATTTTTTCTATTGGGCTATTCGTTTACGAATTTCTAGAACCGATGTTGGCGTTTGTATTTTTTTTTTTTTTTTGTACAGCTTTCCATCGATTTTATTTTTTAAAACATATTTATATCAAATTCGTAAAAGAATGCAAACGCGTCTGCTGCCAATTTTTGGTAACATTCGAACCACCAGCGAGCCTCGTCAGAGGATTTCTCTTAGTTTTACAATATTCTAATTTTATATAAACCGACATTATTATTATTATTATTAAATTAAATTTAAAGGGTTTTTTAAGCTTGTTTTTTTTTTTTTTTAAATTAGTTTTAAAAAAAAAAACCACTATATTCATCGTCTAATGATATTGTGTGTTCAAAAAAATTACACGCTTATATTGTTAAAACACCGAAAACACTACTATATACTGGGGGACACGTCTGAACGGCGGGTGAAACGAAAAGACCGCCATCACGGTGTGACGGCTGGCAGGTCGGTGACGGAGCGGTGGTGAGTTTATTCGATGCGGTCGTCAGTGAATGCCCTCCAAGGGCGAGTACGACTTGTATTGGTACAGGTCCTGTCCACCGTATCCGTACAAAAGCCGGCCGCGGCCATGTTCGTCGTAATACGGATATCTATACTTGGGTCTGGAAAATCAGAAATTTCGCACAATTTTATTAAAATATAAGTAGGCGTATGTATTACGTATATATATATATATTATAGCTCTGCAGTTTCATAAATGTGCACCGTGCAGTGTTGTGCGTTTGCGGTAAGGGATTTTCATCCTCACCCCAATTTCACTCGCTGGACGATTACCATCAGCCCTCGGACGGCACTCTTTAAACACAATTCCGGGACTTTTTATACCTGGGCACTGTCAAAAGTCAAACGTAAAGAAAAAAAAAGATGATTTCGGTTTTAATGCGGAGACCTGGGGGGGGGGGGGACTACGACAAGGCACGCCTTATAGGTATATATATATAATAGGTTACCAACATAAATCCTAGGTGTCCCATTTACACTACACCTATTCACACTATTGTATATTGTCCGCAGGTGTAAATTACGCAGTTGCAGATATATATATATAGGTATATGTATAAGTATTGTATGTATACGTACCTTTCGAAGTATTGAAAGTTCGGCGCTTTGGGCGTCAATGTCGCGCCGACCACCGATACGACCAACGCTACCGACGCGAGAGCCAGCAAAATCTGAAAAAACAAAAATGGTAAGAACATATTATAAATTTATGAATTTAATTAGGTATTATACGTTGAAACATTCACTGTATTATTATATCGTGAAAATAATTTATGCGCGCCGTATATAGGTACTACGTGTAAAACTATCACAGGGACGCGTGTAAATGACACGCGATATATTATATATTTATTGCTAAAGGGTAATATGACTTAATGTAGTATAATATGTAATGATAATACTATGCGGCACAGGTCGTCTCGAAGGAGTTACATGCACCTGTCACCGCTCGTTTGGTGATGGAATGGGGTGCATATAGGAGAGACGTGCCGGGGTAAATGAATAATTATTATAGGTAGGTATACGATGAGCATATTGCAATATAGCTGTAGACTGTAGCTTATAATATATATTATATAAGTAGGAGTAGTAGGACATAGCTGGTATTATAATATAGTCGGGCATGAATATAGAAATGCAATTTTTTTTGTGGGGGGAGGGATCACAAGTACCAAAATTAAACATTCTTATCGTCAGCATAAACAAAGTATTGTTGATTTATCGTTCTGACGTTATCATAAAAATGTTTGACATCTATGTCTTTTATTGTGGTGCGTGTGTATGATTTACGATCTTGAATATTATAATATTATATATCGCAATCGTACCTTGCGATTTTGTACTGCACCGGTTATAACGGTTTATTATAGTTGTCATAATCCAAAATTTCAAGTATTTTGCGTCACGTGGCTCGATTACATATTATTATATTAAATAATAATATGTTTAATGTACATATTAATATAATATTGTGTCTACATCGTTGGTTGAGATTTGAATCACCGCGTGGACAAGCGTTGATCGATCACAACGCATACTAACTTTGAGAATATTATAGTTTAAGTTTTATTCTGAAACGTGGCCGCCCGACCTTTGGGTGCAGGATTCTCCTGTTTTTTTAAGTCCTAACAATCGACCAGTAACATATTATTGTTCTCCCAAACGAAGCACACGACAAAGCGCTTGTTTTTCAAAAATATTTTCCGCGTATATACCAGTATAGTTCTTTTCCTTTTGAACTTTTTACGTAATCTGTACAGACATATTATTATTATTTTAAACGATCTCGACTCGTATTTAAAATAAAAAATATTAAGATAAAACAACGCGTAATGACAAAGGAACAATGTGACCGCGCAAGCATAAACGTGATATAATATAAACGAAAATAATATTCTGACAGCGTAAACCAAAATTCTACTTGAACATCAAAAGCGGACTGACGAGTGACAGTTTGACACGTCAGCCGTCGATGCTTAAGAGTTTCGACGATTATTATCACCGTCTATGTCGCAGTGGGATTATGAGTTGTTAATGCAACAACGCATGTATCGTTATTTATTATTAATTGATTTTGAATTTTTTTTTATCATAATAATAAACTCATATTATAAATTGTATAAATCTGTACAATCGATTGACCGTGTAAAAGTGCAGTTGGCTATAATAATATAAATTAAAATAAGTGGTTATCGACGTTTAATTTGGTTTTTGCACCGACAATTCCTTTCAGAAGGTATATTAATATGACAAACAATACATGACAAATTGATGTAAAAACATTACATCCAATTCTTCAACGTGTGTATTGGACGAAAATGAGATGTAGTGTACTTGGGGAAAAGGCAGACTACCTATGCGAAGTGTCCCCCCCCCATATACTAACACAGTACACGCACCTCAACAGCTAGTCTTTAGCTGCCGACCTATAAATGCTACAAATGCGGTGCCTAAAATATAGGTATAATATTTTATATCTATTTATGGACGTATAATATCATATTTAGTTAAGTGTTACGTGTATACTGTGCAAACCGCTAAAATTTGATTAAGACGTATATTTATTTAAAACAATCTATATAGAATATTAGAATATGACAGAATGTATGTGCCTGTATTATATACTACATTATAATACAGTTATAATTATTATCGTTATCGGCTAGGTTTTGAATATTAATTGATTGACTGTTTATTACGTTATACTATACGTTATAATATGCCCAAGAATGATATTGGTATCGGAAAAGAATTGTTTTTTCTTTTGAAACATTATGTCAAATCTTAATAATATATTCGTATTCGTATTCGCCAATCGCCAATGTATAATATAGGTATAAGAGTGAAGAGTCGCCCAGTCGTCACAACCGAAATCTCGACGTCGGATTCGGAATATATATTATAATATTTATTTTAAATCTTGATATTCATTCCTCTTAACTCTTTTTCGTCCCTCACACTCGAACTCGCGTGCACTTCTCTCTCGTCGCCGAATTTTACATAACATCATAAATCGCTGCGATCGTCGTCCACGACCGAAAACTCGTCAACGACTATGGTTTTTGTCGCATACATAAATAAAATATAAATATTCCAACGGTGTGAACGGCACCCGCTCAAACCGAATAATATGCACATTTGGACGGACGGACGGCTGGCCCGTGACCCGTATTATATGGTATTGGTATACAACATCCATTTCGTATATATTATTATTATAATATTTTCTCGGTGTATTCAGAGCATTGTATACAGAGTGTGTGTCCTGTCAATCATAACTTTTTTTTACGACTGTAATATATTACGCGCTCATTGTAATTGGGCCACGTGTGCGTATATATACTCTGATGCGTTATTTTTCCCCGCGTCGTATTTATACATTTTTGCAGATGGCCAATTCGTTTACGTTATACACTATAATATTATGCTTAAAGTTCCTGAAAAATATACGAAAGTCGTGTTATTTGTTCCCGTCGAGCGGATGTGCTGCAGCAATCGTGTGGCCTACACGATGCAGGCTGTATTATGTCATAGTCATAGACATTAAAGTCATACGACTATAATACAAGTGACATGGTTAATAATAATATATATGGTAGTTTTGTGTTTGAAACGTAAAATCGCTTGAAACCGTGTGACTTGTACACTGGTGCTTAGTGCATATTATATCAATATATTAAACAATATACTTAATATATATGATATTACGATGGAATACCGAAAACTACTGATAACCGATGGAAATTATAATAACAAGATTTTTTCAAAGATGATGCAGTTTGCGGGTTTGGTTGATATCTAATATCGTATTGTCGGTATTTTTGTTTTTACTCTAATCAGCCAACGATTTATGCGGTAATATAATTTGCGTAAGTAAAATATAAAAAGTAAAATTGTTTGTAAAAAGGTTATTGATGACGGGATGAGGGACAATTATGGGACACACTATATCGCCGAGTATGATGGTAGGAAGGAAATAATTTATTGTAGGTAGGCGTACCTATGCGTAATTGTATAGAAATGAAATATAAATTACGGACCGTGAAAAGAAAGAAAAAAATAATTAACAAATCTAGTGTAAATTTCGCCGACTTTCGATAGTATTTTCGATCTCATTATGTTTATATGTATATACTATATTCTATATAACAGAGCCATCGTTGCCGGCTGGAGAAAGTGAAATTAACAGTAACAATTCAGATTTTCTTATCACACGTTTCAGTCATTATCGTCGCGTGTCTAAACGTGCCGTTTTCGGTTAGAACAAATATTTAAGGATTTTATTGTACGCGCACAAGTCGGTAACCTAATTTTTACGAACAAAAAAAATGTATAAGTCTTGTACACATACTATAAGCATTTATAATATAATAATAATATAATATATTATATTAAAGTGTCCAATGACCAATCGCATTATGCAATGCATTATCTTCACAAAGTGTAATCCTATTATTATAAAATTACGACGATTTTTGACGAGTTGTCTTATTAAAATTTATTGTCATTTATCTAACCGACAATTTTGCAAAACGAGCTACGCTCGTGTGTATGTTTATATTATTATTATTATTATTATCTCCTAATATAATATATTATTTGCACTCAAACGTCACCGTGTGCCACTTGTGGCTGGTCCTTAGTAATGGTAACTGTATGGCCTTTATCTGCAGCTATATATGTACGCACAAAACATAATAATGTATTATACACACTCGTTAAAAATGACAAGTGCAACCGTAGAAGGGACTCAAAATGACGCTAAATATGTAGATGTTGTTAGATATGCTATAATATATTATTATATATTTTTATAAGTTAATTACAAGAATTGAAAATTCACATAAGACTCCTACAAATATTACCTAAACCAATGTTTAAACACACAATCCAAAATAAAATCAATATAATACTAGCCGAATCTAATAATATGTCCGTTTAAAACATACATGATGTAAAATTATAAATATTTCAAATCGATATGAGATTGTGTCCAACGTCCATGATACTCCATTATATGTCATTGTGGTCATATTTGAGAACACGTTCACAATATATTATTATGTTTGTGAGGTATATTCACGTATGGTTTTCGTGTTGGTTTCACCGGTTCTAAGCATCTGACGACGATCTGTCATTGAGAGGGAAAAAATTTAACGGGTATGATATAGGTACACACGCTTTCCTCGGCGTCCATCCTCGCCGATTCCCACCAATACACCGAACATTGATAAATGATTATATTTGTATTATGACGTACAACAGTCCGTGGAACATAATCGTGCAGCATTGTTTTATACAACCGAATGGAACACACATATATATTGTATTGCATGCGCATAATGTATAGGCTGACCGCGGAATACAATACAGATATAGAGGTATATATTATTTCATTTCCTGTGTTTGCCTACAATCTAATGGCATTATCGCAATAGGTGAACAAGACTTTAAACTTGCTTAGTACAATGAAGTACCTATAGTATGTTTTGGTCGCGGTATCATATCATATACGATTTCACTTGTAAAATATTTTTATTTTCGTACAGAAGTGCGTGACGCTGCCTTAAAAAAATAAAAATCGCACGAATGATAATCATATATAGGTACCTGCGATTACTACTGTTATTCCCGGTTGACAAACTGCTATCACACAAGTTAATAATTATAT